TATGGGCATGCCCATATGTATTTTCCCAGATATTTGGCACATGGGCCCCATGCGGATTAAATGTGGGCATTTCCATATTTATCTGCCCAGGTATTTACCATATGGGGCCCATGTACTTTAAATATGGGCATTCACATATATATTTGCCTATATATTTGGCATATGGGCTCCATATGGGTAAACCATGGGCAAGGCCCATATGTGATTGCCCAGACGGATCCCATAAAGGAAAAATATGGGGTAGCCCATAAGACTTTTCCCAGATATTTTGCATATGGGCCCCATGTGGGACTGTTACCTGGGATTGTACGACGGACTAGTACTAAATTGTGCCCTGATTGGGGTGCTGGCATTCAGTGCATTGGGAAACGGTTCTGATCCGATGTGAATTCAGATTAAGACTGGCCCTGTTTTTAGCTGACAGTAGTTTTCTTAATGTAATTTGGAAGATTTGTAAATTCAACTTTAATTTCATGCATGCAGATTAAAGGCATTCTCTTTATTTTTGATTGTGATTTTATGATTTTTTCCCAGTATAAGTTTGTTAAATCCCTGTTGCATTGTAGTACCTGTCTTCCTCGGAAGACACATGGTCGTCATTGATGAGATTCGTTGACAATCAGTCACTGCTGGTGTTTACTTTTATAGCCAAGAGCCACTGTGAAAGTGGTTTGGTGCAGCAGGAATGGTTTGGTTTCCCAAGCTCGAGGCCGGGGATTCAAAACCAAAATTTATATAGCGCCCAACTTTCTCTGCTCACTGGTCATTGCTGCTTGTCCACGCATGACCCATATGCAGCAAACTATAGAGATTTACCATTATGCTACACAAATGTATTTCTCTTTACTATGTTTTTTATTGCATGTTTAGTGGCCTTGAGCTTGTACTATCAGAATCAAGTGATGAATCCTCTGCAGGCTGGCGAGACAAGTCACCACTTCCAAGGTGAGTATTAAATGTAGAACCACCAAATCCTATGATCAGTGGGTACTAAGAGGCCCAACAAGAGGTCTGGCAATTTGCAGTGTTTATTTAGCGCTGCTTGGATCCATGGGCAAAACCTAAGGCAATTTTCGGGGCAATTTTGGTCCAGTTTAGAGCATGTTTGTGTTCATGTCTTGGTCCGACGAGTCATTTCCAATGAGGGCTTGGCCTGTTTAACCTGCAAGTGTCATCACTACAATAATAATATTATTTATACACAATTTTTTTACATGGAAGACTTATTTCAAAAAAATTGTTCTGCAAGTCTGTGTGGGAAAGGAAACAAAATAAAATTAATAAAAAGGGAAGCATTAAAAATACAACAACATAAGGTTACCATTGACCTATCTATCTAACAGTGTATCTTTAAAATCTTGATTTTTTTTTTGTGCCAAGTGCTACTGTATATTCATTTGCAGTATTATGTTTCCAGAGGTGCCTCATTAATAAGGCTTGAGATTGCCTTGTGAGGCACCTCTGCGTGAAATTTTAAAGAAAAAAAAAACTTAACTGTACAGTTTATAAAATTTTTATAAAATTATGACTTAAGAAAGATCTATGAGAAAGTCAACATTTTGTAACCAGTCAACATTTTGTCACCTGGACCCTCCACGGAACCAAAAGACCTCTTGCTACTCCACCACAGGTACCTTTCAACCTGACACTTTGAGACCTGAAATGCTTTGGTTACAAAATGTCCAGGTTGCGAAGCTCCCGCAATAGATAATACAAAACAAATTTCAGTCTGCCACCCACCTAATATTTGAGCAATCGTGCTTTCTTAGTTTTGTTGCTTCCGGTTTTAATTTCTCATTTAATAGCAGCAGAATCTGCTCACATGCCTTTTTCAGTGTGGATCTTAATAAATACGTAACAATTTTTTATTAAGTTTTTAATAATCAATATTTTGATATTGATTTTTATTTATGTAAGTTTATTTGTGTGCGTTAACTATGATTAAAATTATTCTTTCTATAGGAACCTTCAGGGTGATGATTCTGGGTATGGGACTGTTGATTTGGACAAAGGTAAAAACTTATTTGTATACTGATGAACTTTAATTTTGATTCTGTTTTTGTTTCATGGTGCTTTGATGTTTTTGTTTCATGGTGCTTTGATGTTTTTGTTTTTTTTTTCTATCATGGCAAACCTGGCAAATTCAATATTCAAGCTTGTGGGTCAATATACACTGAAATATATTTGCCGTAATGGGGTAAAAAAGGTATAAGAAAATTAACAAAAATTAAACTATGATATTATATTTTTTATAGATCAGTCAGTCACTGGGTTAGATACTCATATAGATCAATCAGTCACTGGGTTAGATACTCAACTAGAGAAGGATGACCAACAAAAGTAAGTATTTCTGTATGAAATTCTGTTTAGTTTTTTTCTATAGTAAGTACAGTAGTTAATCAAATACAATAATCAATATTTTGATATTGATTTTTATTTATGTGAGTTGCTACTTCGTGTGCATTAACTATGATTAAAATTATTCTTTCTATAGGAACCTTCAGGGTGATGATTCTGGGTATGGGACTGTTGATTTGGACAAAGGTAAAAACTTATTTGTATACTGATGAACTTTAATTTTGATTCTGTTTTTGTTTCATGGTGCTTTGATGTTTTTTTGATTTTTTTTCAATCATGGCAAACCTGGCAAATTCAACAATATTCAAGCTTGTGGGTCAATATACACTTAAATATATTTGCCGTAATGGGGTAAAAAAGGTACAAGAAAATTAACAAAAATCAAACTATGATTTTATATTTTTTATAGATCAATCAGTCACTGGGTTAGATACTCATATAGATCAATCAGTCACTGGGTTAGATACTCATATAGATCAATCAGTCACTGGGTTAGATACTCAACTAGAGAAGGATGACCAACAAAAGTAAGTATTTCTGTATGAAATTCTGTTTAGTTTTTTTCTATTGTAAGTACAGTAGTTAATCAAATACAATTTAGGAGGTTTAAAAGGTAAGTTGCTTCAGACTCTTTATCATATTTGATACTTGAAGCTATGTAATACATTAAATATTGTTATATGAAGTTTTTTTGTAGTTTATGAATTTATTTCATTATATGTTTTGAATGACAAGTGAGTACTCTTTTTAATGAATATGATTTCTCTTTTCAAAATAAATGGCTTTTTTTTTACCCCTCATCTTTCTTTCCTCGAATCTTTGATGACCCCCATATTATCATAGCCATGTCGTCATTTCTAAATCATATTCAACGAGCATAAACTTCAGGTCAAGGTTGAATGTCATATGAAGGGGAAAATTTGTGCGGCATTACCGACCTGAGAAATTTGAGACAGGGCGGCAGACTGTATTTCGACACTATCAGACTGATATATAGTTCATATGAAGGAAAAATTCATGTGGCATTACCGACCAACGGGTGTTTTTAATTGAATGACACTTGACAAGGTTCAATTTTTGTGCCTTTACTGTCCACATGCACGTCATGATGGGCGTGTACGTGTGCGTAAAACTTTAAATGTTTAAATTGCTTTTTTTATACATGCTAAATTATAGCACATTTTAGGACATTTTGAGCATTCATAAATTTTTCAATCCGTGTCTCGAGCGCACCCTGAGTGTCAAAGTTCAAATGTGCAGTGGATCACCACCTAACTAACGGGTTCAAGTCTAGTTTTTTTTTTTTGTTTTTTTTTTAGGTCAGTGTTCACTCAGTTGACTGAGGTTGCCCTGGAAACTGGAGAGTGTACTGCCCAAAACTCTATAATAGTTACAAATAGACAACCTAGTGATGAAGGTAAATGTTTTTAATGATATGTATTGTACTGTATTTAGTCTTTTAATAGTTTATACATCCCCTAAATACAGTTGAACTTGTCTAAGTCGAATCCAAAATGACATTGAAAAATTATGCGACTTAGATAAAATTTGACTTACAGATTGTTAATTAATAGAAAACACAACAATTTGGCATGTAAAATAAGATTGACTTAGAAATTAATCGAGTTGGGCAAAGTTGACTTAGACAAGTTTAACTGTAATGCGAGTTGACGATGATATTTTTATTTAGTCCATATCCTCATCATTCTAATCACTACTATGCAAGAGTTTTATAAGTTGTTTAGCGAACTTATTTTTAAAGCTCTTCTGGGGAAGGCAAAAAAGGAAGAGTAAAATTTAATACATATAAGAGGAGAAACATTGTTTTCACAAGGTTGTACTGTAATGAGAGTGAAGGTTCCAATTTTGACAGATATAGTTAGGTTAAAGGTCATGTGATACATCTTAATGTATTGGGAAGATGATTTCTTATCAATTCTAGTTCCATAATCTTCATTTGATTGCAGATGCTGTCTGTGGAAACATACAAGATGAACATGGGTAACAAATATTTTTATTGCTTGATAAGTTACTTAATTTTATTTGGTAGGAGAATAACCCATAACTTGCAGCATCATTGTGCTGAGTTGCGACGGGCCTGAAATGATCCATAACATACTCTTCCAAAATGCTCACAAGCCAGGCTTGTACACTGGCCTTCCATTTTAAGTCCTTTTCTGAGATTTAGTTCTGCCAAACCAAACCATGTCTGTAGTTAGCGATGCCTCTGTCTTCCTGCTCGGCCATGCACAGATCATATTGTGAAAGGCGTTATAAGCATGGAGGTATTATTGAGACAGAGATCACTCGGTAACAGATCCCTTTGACGCGACAAACCAATGTTTTCCCTGCTTTTGAATTGCGCGCGGGCGTATTACCCTATAATTCACATTTTTTCTTAGCAACAACTTGGCAACGACATGCTTTTTATGCTTCAACACAGCAGTTGTGCGATAAACCGTTAGATTTTAACTCATTAAATATCTTTAAACTTATCAATGTTCCCCTGATTGGATTTTTTTGTACTTCTAGTATGTTATTATGTGTATATTTTAGGAACAGATTTACTTTTGTATTCATTATAATTTTGTCTAAAGATCGATTTGTTCGTCTATAAAGCTAAGGCAGCTTAAAACTGAAAATTACTCTTATTTTGGATTGAATTTTCTAATAGTCCACACTCGTTCACACTAAAATGACTTCGTTTTAATCCTTAATCATTCATTAATTCTGTTAAAATTGGAATTATTGAGTTTTATCCAATTTATGCAAATTCAAGTGGAATTATACCATACTTTTAAATCTCACATGTAAATGTTTCATTAAATTTGAAACTCGTTGTTTGTAGAAATATTATATGTTTGGAATTTCATGAATGATAAATGTATTAGCTTCAAGGTGGAAACAATTGCGCAGCCATATTGATTGACTGTAAGTAGTGCACATTGAAAAAAGAAGGTGAACTCAATTTCGCCATGTTCTATTTTTTGGTAAACTAAACCTGTTGAGTATTTGGTAGTGGAGAACACATTAGACTTCAATGGCATCACGCAAACCTACTTCACTTGCTGCGGCAGTTTTCATCCTGGCCCATTTGCCTAATGCTGCCTGCGCAGAGCTTTTTCGAGTGATCTCCCCAATAATACCTCCATGGTATAACATTAAAGAAATCTTCTTTTTTTTTCTTTAGAAACGAGAATGAACAGATTGAATCTGATGGTGACCCAAAAACGCTAATTTTAAGTTTCCTGTTTTTGATGTTATTTGGTATTTTAAAGTAAGACACTTTCTGTATTTTTTTTATTAAGTTGTTTTCATGATACAATACAAATCTGTATACTATAAATAGAGGTTTGTCTCTGAGTGTACTAACTGTTTCAGTCAGGGGCTTGGGATGGTTTTGGCCCTCGGGGATGAAATTGAGAATGTTGGACCTAATTAGCTGCTATAGGTGGTATCAGTTAATAAGTCCTGCTTACATATATATTGGCAATCCTTAACCATGGATAAATATATTAAATTATTAATAAAATCTAAAGTACATGTCCAAATTATCAAAACTGTGGTATGCCCATATACAATACATCACAAATCTTTTCATATACTCATTTCAATACTGGAGGTTCAGATTTAGTAAAAATATAATTTAACAAAATTACAAAAAGAACAAGGAAATGAAAGAAATGATAAAGTGAGGTAAAAGAATAAAAATCCAATGCACAAATGAAATTAAAAGGTAACATAAATCAACTAAATAGTATATGGTCATGATGGGATGTCATCATGACCATATATAGTCATGATGTGCCTATACAGTATATGTTCATGATGTGATGTCATCATGACCATATATAGTCATGATGTGCCTATATATGTTCATGATGTGATGTCATCATGACCATATATAGTCATGATGTGCCTATATATGTTCATGATGTGATGTCATCATGACCATATATAGTCATGATGTGCCTATATATGGTCATTATGTGATGTCATCATGACCATATATAGTCATGATGTGCCTATATATGTTCATGATGTGATGTCATCATGACCATATATAGTCATGATGTGCCTATATATGTTCATGATGTGATGTCATGACCATATATAGTCATGATGTGCCTATATATGTTCATGATGTGATGTCATCATGACCATATTTAAGTATGTCACACACTTTTGTCAAACGTGTGACATACTTAAATGTGTCACACGTTTTTTGTCAAATGAAAATTGGTAGTGTAGACAGGACTTAAACAGAATAGAAAGCTGAAGCATATTTGTCATTTCCATGAAAATAAATAATTTTCAAGACAGCTGTTTCGTTTGCTAACACATTCTGTGTCCATTCTATGCACAATCTATTTTGATTAACTTTCAAAGATGAGGTATATAGGGCAGAAGTGGAAAGATCACACAGTTTTCCAGTCAGTCTAAATCAAATTTTATGGCCACTCACATTTAATAACCCCCTTGCCCATCATTAAAATCCACTCTTTTTTGTTTAGAATTTACCAATGTTTCACCCACCCACCCTTACTTTATAGCTACAACCCAGAAACTCTGTTCGTTTAATATTTATGTTTACTCTTATGATGCATGTAGAGTACATTGCATGTTTATGAATATTTTAGAAAATCACTTCCTTGAATTATTTATATCTTAAAGTCCGGAAATAACTGAACCCTGTCAACCTATGGATAGATGCTCCCCACCACCAACAAGTACAGGTATTATTAATGCTCAATGAAATACTGTATAATCAGGGTTCGAAATAACGCTGGTCCGCTGGCCAATGGCTAGTAAAATGTATGGCGGACCTGTTAACTGTCTCTTATACACATCTAGATGTGTATAAGAGACAGCCTCTTAACGATGTCTTTACAAAATATTTCACACAGATAATGTCAACAAGATCGCTATTTTCTGTTTATTGTCATGTGTTAATGTCCGCTACGAACAACCTCGGTCTCAGCATGGTCTCGGTCATTCAAGGCGAACCGATGAACATCACGCACTAGCCTAGACCATAGAGGGGAATCCATGGCTAGGCTAGACGTACAGAGGGAAATCACCTTCTCCGCATGTATAGCGACAAGGAGAAGTTGATTTCCGTCTGTGTGAGCGCCGTGAAGTTAAAACATCCATGTCATGTATCCATCCCACAATGCAACGTGGGACAAAAAGTTAATAAACAACACAACGATTTCCAGACGAAATGAACCGTTCGTACAGTCCCAATAACATTGCCATGGAGATTATCTAATAATTAAAACGACACGCCAGTAAAATGTTAGATAAAGCACGGAGTTGGATAAAGTCAAAGTTACACCTTCCATTGTTTTAATAAAGTGCATTATCGCCTATGAATACTTCAAAATCGACTGTAATCAATCTGAAATGAAAAAGGAACGCAAAGCAATTGTTTCTACGACGGCTCTTTTTCAGTAGACGTTTAATTCGGATTTGGTATGTCATTAGATTCATATATCAGTCTACATGTAAATTACACTCACATTCCCCAAAAACATTGCTAATTACGGAGGGAATTTGCAGAGAATAAAATTTTAATTTGTTAGATTTATTTTTAGATTTTACTCTAAAATAAAACAAAACCACGAGGGTTTCTTATTCATTTTAATAAATTTGTTTAATTAAAAAATTATCGGTTTACACTAAGCTTGTTCCTCTGTCAGCAAGCTGACTATGAAACTTTGGGCGATCTGACGTCACCACAGCCAAGCACATGGGATTTTTGCCCAGCAACATGACCCCACGAAAAAAATTAACCAATTAGCGGGCAGAGTTTAGGAGGCGCGACCTGATATTTACAACAAGAAGTCGCATCGTCGTTACCACGAAGAATGTGTTGTTTACAGTTTAATTAGAAAAAAATGTCAGACCGAAAATGCAAGTAAAAAAAATATAAAAGCATTCATTTTATTGGTACAGTAATACAATTTGCTGTACACTACAGCTGAACAACAGGTACTGTACGTATTACAGTATATGGTAAATATATGGTAAAACTTTTTTCGTAGGCTAGTCATACCGAATTCACTGGGCTAGCCTATGCTGCTAAGCCTATTTTTAGCGTCTATGCCTAGGCTAGGCCCTAACTGGCCTGCCTTATTCGGAAAGAATTCAATAGAAATGTTCCACAAACCGATCTTTCTTGAAAACCGAACATCGTAGCGAACATCGTATTGTACATACAAATAGATTCCTGTATTTATATTTCGCGGCATAATTTCCCATACAGAGACAACAGAAAGATTTTTCTGACCCCCTAGGACATTGTTGTCTCGATCGGCCCAAATTTCGCCCCCCTTTTTTGGACATCACTGGATCCGCCCCTGGCTAGTGAAAGGGATTGAGGACCAGTAAAAATATTAATTCACTGGTCCACTTGGCTAGTTAAAAAAAACCTTAAGGGAAACCCCTGATAATGCTATACAATATAACAAAAAGGCCAGAATTATGAAAAAAACATGTTGGAGAGCCAAGTTTGTAATATAGGTTGAATAAACTGATGTAAGGTGTCAGATGTGAGAAGGCAAGGCATTCCAACAGGAAACATGAAGCCCAAGCAAAAGTACATGTTGAGGGTTGCATTGATTGTGCAAGAAGAAAACTTAGAGACCACTTATTGCTATATGGATGGATGAGTCAAAATGAACTTTGGTGGAGCATAAAAATATGTAAAGTATCTTGTGAATCAGCAACGGTCAGTAGGTTTAGCACAGGGGCGATACTTGTCATTCAAGAGTTTTAAGGGCCAAACGGCAGCAATGTTTTGCACTCTTGAATTTTGGGAATGTCCTTTACCGTTGGACTGTGGAGCAGTAAGTTAAGCAGTTCAGGCATGAACCAGAATCTCAGTTGACCTCGGATCAAGACACTTTTTGATGCTTCCGATTCATCGAATCGCCTGAAGCTCGGCTTTGTGGCTGTTAGATACTTAATTGGATCAACTGCAGGTCCATAATGAGTCTTTGAGGTTTGATAATTGAGGTGTTGATTTTGGCTGAAGGAGTCCAAATGGCAAAATATAACTTTAAAAAAAAGAAGTGCTCTGTTTCTGCATCATTCATTACAATACTGTTAGACTAACCCCATGATTAATTTTGGTACAGCAAGGTACAAGCTTTCTAACTGCAGATAAGGGATGAATATGGTATTATGAGCGTGCAACACACACACCACATTGTGTGTGGTAATCGCCCCACCAGAAAGTAAAATAAAGAAAACAAGGGCCAAACTGAGCCTTGTGGATTGTTGAACATGAAATATATTGAGTGCAGGGTTCAACAAACATCCTCTATGGCAACTCAATGGAACCTTTCATTTAGATAATAATGCAAACTATTGCTAGGCTATACCACAAATGCTGGTTCTTAGCTCAATCTGTCAAACCCAAGAATATATCATAGAAAGAACTGTAGCAAAATGCAAGCAACTGGGCAAGAAGTGGAGGTTTTATGCAGCATATGGAATATACTGTATATTAAAAGAAGATATACAGTATATTTGAATAAACATACAAACAATATAACATATTAGGTGTACCCGATGCTAAACCATTGATTATTTATTTTGGTATAAGCATGTAAAAGAACATTAAGCTAAAAGACTTAACTATTTCCCTATTCATTTTTCCTAGGAATCCTGTGCTCAGCTGCGAATATTGAAGAGCTTTTAGCTGGGATTTCTTCAAGTTGTATACAGGAGGAAACTGATGAGACTGAACAACAGGGAACCACAAAGAAGAAGAAAAAGAAATTGAAAAAGAGAAAGAAGAAAAAGTTGACAAGGCCCACTCCAGAAAAAAACACCAGTCGCCACACAACAGTGCCATTTTATGATGATATTCGATACGGAATTGAGGTTAGTATGCTTTACTTTATTAAATTGTATATCTTATTGTTTCCTTTTTTAGTTCTGATCAGGAGCTTTAGGAATACCCTGCTGATCGTGTGCTTTTTTGCTGATTTACTGTACTGTGTAATTTTGAAGGAGCTCTAGAAACACCCGGCTGATTGATTGATTAATAGATCTTTTTTGTATTGGCAGACATTAAGGCCAACACACTCTACTGCCTCTATTATAATGCCCTCATCAGAGCATTCAAGATTTGGAGAACTTGTTTAAATATGGATGAACACATCATTGTAAAGAAAAATGTTTATTTTTATTTTTTGCAGGAAACAGCAGCTCAGCAAGTCATGTATACAGGAGGTAACTATTCCAAATTGTTTTATACTGTTTATTTTTTAGCCATTCTGACCTTCTTAACATTATAGATTTAGTGTCAGTTGTAGTGGTAATAACAATAAACAAATTTTATTACTCACCTACTACACTATTTAGGATATTCCCCGGAGCCCTGTTCACCTCTCTGTCTTCGTATCGTAACAAGGGAGTGTGTTTTCAAGCCAACGTCGTCGTCTACCTGCTGATTTCACGCATGGCCAGTTACATCTAAAGTACGACTCACTCAGCAGCTTGTCGATGACGTAACCACATTACTCTCCCATATTTAATTGTTGGTTGAAAACCATAATAACGTAACTGAATGTCATGGGCTTTTTGCTTTTGCGAGACAGAAGTCAGAGCTCTAAATTTGTTGGTTTATTTAGTTTATTTAATTATTTTTCATCATTACTTTACCCATGACATTCAGTTATGTTGTTCTTGTTTTCTGACACTAAATCTATAATGTTAAGAGGGTCGGAATAGCTAAAAAATAAACAGTATAAAACAATGTCAATAATGAACCTGAAAAGGCTTAATCAATTATGTTACAACATGAATGTATTGTCAAACTATTCCAAAGTTTCATACTTTTAACAATGTGATACAGCAATAAGGCTTCTTGATTCAAGTCTTAACAGTCATGTTTCAAAGCAGATACAGACCACTTCCTTGCGGAAGGTGCGATCAGTCTACATGCATGTGTTGACATGTGATTAGACACCTGTTATGTAAAGCTTTTGATCTACCACCTGTAAGCTACCACTTATAATGTATAGCTGTTGACAGCCACTTGTTTGTAACCACATGTGATGTACAGCCTCTGATCTGCCACCCTCTAACCAGTGGCAGACTGAAGGGGCGCATACTGGAAAATTGAGCCATGCACACAAATCCAAGAAGCAGTGCATTCAAGCCAGTGTGTTAACACCCTTTAGCATTCGAAGGAATAAGACTTTTCCTTATTGCAAAGGATGCTGCTAGAAAATATATATCTTAGTGGCTTCTTTATGTCAACAAAGCTATAAAGGTGTCACTTTTAAAATGTTGTGTTCAATTAATTAATGAACCCCCTGTGATGAATTATGGTAATTATATATTTAATTGTTTTTTTACAGGTGTACAGCCATTTCATCTTCCAGTTCCATATGGAATTCAGGAGGTTAGTATTATTTAATTACAGTAATTGAATAAATATTCATTATTTTTTAGAATATTAAAAAAATATAAACGCATGATTATAAGAAAATGTGTATTTGTTTATTTTCAGGAAATGGAAGAGCCACCAGACGTAGATAGAGGAGGTAAGTTTACCAAGGTTCACACCTTTAAGCAGTGTAATATTGCTATCAGACTTTAGAATTCAGATCAAGTGCTTAAGGGTTTGAGTTGATGCTAACCACTTTTTTGCGTCTTTGGCAAACATCTTGGTAAGATAATAGGGAGCTTTTGATTGGTGCGATGACGCGCGACGCTAGAGCAGAATTACTCATGCGTGACCGTTCTGCCGGACGTCTTACATTCTCGGCATACATAGATTTTGACCAAATTGCAATTTTTTTTTTTATACCTTGTTTAGTGAACCAATATTGATTAGCTCGCCAATATTAATGATTTCGAATAAAAATGAAATTTTATTTTTATAACGACTAACTCACTATTCTACTAGGAATCCACAAATATTACTGTCTCAAAATCAATTGTAGATTTTAAGACAGTAAATATCTGTGGATTCCTAGTAGGATAGTGAATTAGTGTATGTAGATTGATGAACTGGACTGGAATGGTTGTTAATATATTTTTGATTGTCTATGAATCTAATAATTAGTGAAATGTAGTGCTACACATATAGCATTTAAACTTATATAGCATTTAAACCATTATATACATTCGTTATTATGTGATTGATAGAGGAAACAATAATTCAATATTAAATTAATAACTTAGATGCAGGAAGATGTTTACAGAATTTATATTGTGGATCTCCATACAAATTGAATTTTCATTATCTCTTAGGTGGTGTCATACGCATACCAGAACTTCTACCATTTGGCGTCGAAGTGGTACGGCTATTTTTATATTTTCTGTTTTTAATTTGTTGCTGTTTTTCTGTGTGTTTACCATTGTCTTTTAAGTAAGAGACTGGTAAAAATAATTGTATTATACAAAACAAATATATGGCTGAAATTTTGATAATGAGGAAGATTAAAAATATTCTAAATCATTTTTCATTAGGAGGACCCTGGTGGTGAATCCTGGTTATGTTTGCCCTAGCAACTTGACCATAACATTCAAGCTTCAAAGGGATTCCAGTGCGGTAGACCTTATGTATGCAATGACCTTGCTGCACCAAAACTTTGGAACCAGTACCAAATGATACCGAAACCTTAGAAAATCCGGGATGGTTTCCGGCGGGGGATAGTTTTACCAATGAGTTAATTTAGTGTATTTAAGCGTATAGAGTGTAGTGATTATAGTATCCTAGGTACAATAAACTGCATCTGGTTACATACTATGTTTTTTTAGAAATGGAAATTTTGTCAATTTATTGTATTTGATTGCTACAGTTGAACCTGCCTAAGTTGAATCCAAAATTCCATTAAAATATTGATCAACGTAGATAAAATTTGACCTACAGATTGTTAATTAATGGAAAACAACAATTTGGCATGTAAAATAAGATCGACTTAGAACGAATTATATGACTTACTGTAGGCAAGTTTAACTGTATATACATATAGGAGTGAAAGGTGAAATTTTGCCCTCCCTGACATGTTATTGTACTGAATACTCCCTACGTCCCCAAATAGTTGCGAAAAACTTGCAAGTGATTTGGATTGGACTCAAACCCATGACCTCCAGATAACTAATATATATGTCTGTAGTAAACTTACTAATGTGATTATCTAAATTTTATTTTATCTCTTTTAGTAAAATAAATGTTAGGTCAAAATATTCTAAAAATTGTAAATGATTGTGAATTCAAATGTAAAACAAAGTGCCTGCAGGAAATGAAATATAAAAGAACAACCAACTGAGGTATGGGGTCAAAGTGAAGAGCCAGTTTGATTGCAGCTCTGGAATTGTGGGAATTTTAATGTTCCGATAGATTAGGCAATAATTTTTTATATCTTGTTTAGCGAACCTGCTGACCGCCATAATGATTTCCAAAAAAGTTTTTTTGACAATTAGCACACCTGCTGCCACAAAAAAAAATTGGGAAATTTCAGAAGTATTCCATTTTATCTGTCATTGCCTTGACATCTCCAAAAACGATAAGTATATTTCTTCCTAATATATAAATTTAAAGCATTTAACCATCCCGTTACTACACTGTTTACATTCACCAGTAAAATTTTATTTTTATTTTCTCCGTCTGGATGTTTTTGGCAAAACTCTTTGAAGATAAATAACAAAATTATTTTCCCGCTGTCTGACAATCTTTAAAAAAATAAGTTTGCAAAACAAGGTACAAAAAAATCCCACCTTACTAGTTAAAATGTGAAGATTTAAGATTTTATGGGGGGAAAAAAATCTAATCAGATATGGGCCTTTTTACTAGAGAGTGCATCTATATATTTTTTTTAGAACAAAATATTTTTATTTTACTAATATAAATGAATGAATATAATGTATATAATATAATATATAATCTAATATTGCTTTTTAGATAAATTTTATTGCATCTCTTATAATGGTTGAATGGATGTTGGATCAGATGAAATCAAATAAAGATATAAAATCCATAGTTTTAATTGATATATTGAGTATGTGAGTAGATGAATATAATTTATAAAGTGAAACCAAATATGTGGCAAAGACAAGCCAAACCAGTCACTCTTTGCAAATCGTGTTTGAGAAAATGGCAAAAACATGCTGGAATGTCAAAATGTTTAAAATCTATTTTATTGCACTAAACTAACCTTTATATATGTATACAATTTTCCCCATTTTTAACGTTAAAACAACAATTTTTAACGATTATTTATAATTTTGCCTGAGAAATGCCCGATATCATAAACTTCCTTAAATGCTTGAAACTTCATAAGGATTTAAATGATCTTTTTACTGTTTTTTTAGCTCTCATTTTACAGTTTAACTCTCATTTACTGTATTAATAACAATCAATTTTTGCAAACATTGACTAATTTGGCTTCTCTTTGCCACATATATACAACATAATAATCTAATTGCTTTTTAGATAGTGTTCTTGATATTATAGTACTGTATTGTTAATATTGAGATTGCTGTATACTGTCCAGAAGGGTTTTTGAAGGCGAATTTATTCGAGGGAGATATTTATTGTTTTGAGTGTAAAATATATTATATATATATTATGATTATACTAAAATAAGTGTCCCATAATTTCACTGTTAATGTGGAACTACAACACATAATGGTTGTCAAAATTGATCATTCCTGTTTTTATCAGCTTCTTTATGGAATGACCTTCTGGAGGATATAAAAAAATGAACCTTCAGTTGAAATGTTAAGAAGTCCCTTAAAAAACACATTTTCACGTCATATTTTTCTCCTCTTGTTTACTTTTCTGGCAATCTTACTCTCATCGGATTTTTGTATCATCATTGTAGGATAGGCTAGATTTCACTAGAGCTCCAGAGAGTACTGATCCAGCGAGCCTTTTATATTAGGCTTCAAAGTGCTGGAGAACGGAGCAGTGAAAGTGATTCTATTGCTTTGTTGCCATTTTCTTTGTTTGATTTCCATGTAACATTAGGATATTTCGTGGTTACTTTTCTTTTTGTTCATGTAAAGTGCGTAGAAGCAATTTTATTGTATTATGCGCTGTATAAGACTTATTGATCCCAACCATGTTAGAAAAAATGTAATTCTACTGGAATAGAACATTAATAGAATGTGTTGACAATGATGTTGCATTCATTAGATCTGTTTACCATAATTTAGGGGCATTTATTCAAGGTATTCATTTTATGTGCATCTGTTATAAGAATGTCAGATGAGAGGAGATCCAATAAAGATAAAATGAAATGTGGTATTTATTTTATGTGCATCTGTTATGAGAATGTTAGATGAGAGGAGATCCAATAAAGATAAAATGACAAGTTCTGTTCTGTGTACTTCATTTGTGAAGATTAGAATCAATATATTTCATTCAGTTTTGGTTTTTGTTGCTGCGATAGATTTACTCATAGCGTGGAAATTGTAACTGCAAGGAATAGTGCTATAGAAGAATCAGTTACAAAGAACTTCATTTTTGAAGACAACTTTTAGGCCAATATACATTCTTGTTCACAATTATTATATTGTACAGAGTGGCTATGCTTTCACCGAGATGTAGTGCATTGAGATAGTGAGAGTTAGTTTTAAGGTTAGTGTAAAGTCAATCAGTCAGTGCGTAGGGTTTTCGATCACTTCGGTGTAAATATATTCGCAGCGTATAACGTAAATGTTAACTTGATATAAGGAAAGCCACCATTATGCTGATGAGACTGGCTTCAGATTTTTTTATCTTCTCGCTGCCATATCAATGGATCACAAAAGGGGAATTTAAAGCAAGAAGACACGGGCGGGTCCATATCCCCCTGAGGTCACTGTTAACATAACACTCAAAAAACTGAAAAGTTACATCATTAATCATTAATATCATTAGATATTTATTCCTCAATTTCCTATTGATAAAAAACCTTGTATGTATGTATGATGTGGTGCTACCTATATTATAGAGTGTACCTAGGATTCTTCTTACAACTGAAACTCCAAAAAACTCCCAGGCCCCATGAAGAGGCTGTAATAGCATACCACATGTCTAATTGGCTCATCCTGGTTCACTAAGATATACAGTATATGCTAGACAACTGTTTAGTACTCTTAAAATACAGGTCTCCCTCCAATTAAACACCACTTTTGGGACCAGGGTTGACATCATTTTTAGCAGCTAAAATAATAATAATAAGAAAAGACAGTTGTTCATTTGGAACCAAAGGCCTTTAATTGGAGGTGGTTTTTAATTAGAGGGAGACCTGTATTTAAATACTCCACAAATCTCAGCCGACACCTCGCACAACTGGCTAACGTCTCTATTTATTGTTGTGACGTCATGGCTCGCTGGCTCACACTTGTGATATGTCTCGCACTTGTGATCAAATAACACGCTGGCTCACACTTTGGCAACACTCGCCCCTAGAAAACCCGCCCTTGGAAACTTGCCCCATAAAAAAATGTACACTTCCTAGACCATGCAGTCTTCAAAATAAAAATTGTAACCTTTGGTAATCAACTACATTTTCCACATACATAGAAATTTTTTAAACTTTATTTAAAAAAACCTAAACCATAATTCACCACTATAGACACTTTTTGACAAAAATGAAAAATTACGACTTTGTTACCCAATGAGAAGTGTTCTAATATAGACAATGGGTTGTGTCTCATTATTTGTTATATTTTTATTATTCATTATTTTCACTTGACTCGCATAAATAATTTTGTTCGAAGAACATTTATATGCAGTTGTACTTTTCAGCACTTCACTTGCAATTTCTAGTTATAATACTGTACTATATAACCACTTATAATTACTATGGTATAAATATTACTATTGGACAATCTAGTGCTGTATTTAAAGTATTCTCAGTGCGGCATCATGAATTATTATATACACGATTAGAAAATTATAACCCCATTAGAAAATTATAAACCACCTGAGATTGTCAAACGGACACTAATAATTTACCCATTCAACCAAAGAGATTTAGTCCCTAGTATTTTGGTGTAAAAAGTACAATTTGTACTATTTAAACCATAAAATCTTTATCCCTTGACCACCACCAGGGGTTGTATTCCAATCCTGATTGGAAGTCCTTTGATTTGGGCCCCTGCGGGACTATTTAGACCGTTTATCAGCAGGTTTCTGGAATCACCACTGGGTAGGCCATGCGTTTTATGTAGAAAGGATTTAACCTAAAGCACACAATAAGGCTCATACATCCTTGCCTGGGCACACCTTTGGTATGGTAAAATCAATCCTTTTTTGTCCCTCAAAATGCAGGGGGGGCTGATGGAGCTGTAGGTTGGGCTGCAGTTTGAGAGGCAAATCGGTCCTGGGTGTGGTAAGCAGCAGTAGGCTGCTGGTACTGAGGTGGTGCCTGTCCTGGGTATGAGCCACCAGCATGAACTGTAGAAGCACCTGGATAGCCCTGCTGGCTAGGCTGTTGCATTGAAGCTTGATAGCCGTATTGGCTAGACTGCTGAGCTGGGTAACCATGTTGGCTAGGTGACTGCATTGGAACTGGGTAGCCCTGTGGTTTATGCTGTTGGGTTGGTGCAGGATGGCTTTGTTGATTTGGCTGCTGAGGAGGAGATGGATTTGGCTTTATGCCGTGTTTCTTCATCCATGAAAGAAACTGGTCAGGTACCTCTGCTAAGACCTCCTTGGCTAGTCTAGCTTGGCTTAGCATCGCACTCGATGAAGAGCCTACACCACCAACAAAGTCTCTCAAGGGAACAAACTGGAATTTAAAAAATTAATATTTTTATTTTTTCTATTTATTTAACTTCACACAGGCAAATGTACAATACAACAACAGGTGAACAATTGCACTTCTGATAGCGGCCAATCCCGAATTGCACAGGTATACTAACAAGATAAAATATGATGTATATATAATTTTAAAATGTAACACTAAACTATGTAAAATATATAAAATAATTTCAGGAATTGCACATAATGACCAGAAATTTAAATTAGGCAACATTTGGCACAGCGACAACATGACAGACTGTAAACATTATTTACATTGAGCTTACCTAAAAGAAGATCATTGTTTAAATATTAAAATTTATTAATGAATATTATTATGACTTTAATTATATCCCCTTACACCGACAGCAGCCCCAAAGTCCTTAAAAATTATAGGTAGCATATTTTAATCTTGTAGAAGAGTACAGCCAATTGTGATGGAAAGATTGATAAAAAGTAAATTAAAAAAATCAGATCTCCAAGTAGCCAACAAAGATGATGTACCTTCCCCACATCCATCACATCCGTCCCAAGCCTTCACCAACTCCTACCTAGTATGAACATTTACCTGGACAATATCACGTTCTGCATTTTTTCCTCTGTAAGAAAGAATTTGTTTGTCGCCATCAAGAACTTCCATAGCTACAAGAACAAGACAAATCCATTATTTTTATTTTATTTTTTATTTATTTATTTCCAAACCAACAGTGAAAAATCGCCACTTACAGGATGGACATAAAATATACAATATAAACTCTAAAAATACAGAACTACAGGCAGGACAATCAAAATTATTTAAAAGCAGAGAGATTATTTTTAAAAACCTAATGTCTTAAAAATACATTGAAACCTACCATCAAATTCTGCAGGGCCAACTCCAATGATGATAATGGACAGTGGTAAACTGCTTGCCTGAAGAGTAGAGAAGATTCAGTATGTTAAAATTATATTTCAAATTTAAGGCCTGTTTATACTTCAACGATAACAATAAGAAAGAAAAGAAATAAGAGAGGTTTTTACACTAGAACGATTTGATATTGATTTATCAGTTATGCGATAACAACATATTATGACAAATCAAATCAGATGATGTCATAATCATGGTAAAACATTAAAATCGTAGTAGTAGCAACGATTTTATCGTTTTTCCATGATTATGACGTCATCTGATTTGATTTGTTAAAATATTTTGTTATCGTATACACGATAAATCGTTATCGAATCGTTCTAGTGTAAAAACCTCTCATTATCGTTGAAGTATAAACAGGCCTTAAGTCAGGAAATATGAGACTTGCCATCCCAAAACTAACGTAATGTTGCTAAATCTTAAACCATGGTAAAACTGAGTAATTAGCATAAGAATGTGGTGGTGCTGTACACTTTAGTACAGAGAGGCCAGAATAATTTTACTAATTAATTTGGCAAAATAAAGTTGATTCCATTAAATGACCTACTAGACTGTAAAACCTTGAATTGAAGCCCTCGGCTTCTTTTTTTTTTTTTGCAAACTTTGGATGGGCTTCTTTACAAGATGGGCTTCTTTTCAAGGCTACTTCTGCAAAGTAAAGAGGGGGGCTTCTTTTCAAAATGATTGCTGTAAATTTTGGGAATTTGTACTATAAAACAATAATTAAGGCAACTGTAACATCAATCTGTATCATGGAGTGCATTAACTGGCATTAAATCACCTAAACTACTGTATAAGCCAAGCTTGTTTTTAATTATGTTTTTTGGAAAATGTGTGTACATAAGTGTGCAAGTCCACATCAAAAATAGAAAAAGAAAAAATATTAATAGTTACTTACCTTTATAATTGCATCCTTGGTGAAGTCCATATCAGAAATAATGCCATCAGTTATAATCAATAAGATAAAGTAGTTTGAGCCATCAGGATAAGCTTGTGCAAACCTATTAAAATTACATAACAAAAATTGGTAATATATAAAATTTACAATCAATTGTAATGTAATGTAATAGTAGAGCAATGTTAGTCTGGTAGACGTATGAAATAAAAACACTGGTAGCACTTTAAAGGCTAACTTCAAGCTTTCGCCAGCAGGCTATGCTGGCTTCATCAGTTGTAGTGAAACCAGCATAGACTTCAGGGTGAAAGCTTGTGTATTAAATAATTAGTCTATTAGTGCTTTAATTTCATGCTGTAATGTAGCAGAGTTGGTTTTATATAGCGTTTGAGTCTCAAATCGTTTGATATGTGGTCTAGCTTGTACAGTAACACGCCTATCCTCTCTAAAAGTCTCTTCGTGTCTGAGCTAGCCCTTAAACCAGTACCAGCTACTCTCGTCTGTCCACAGCAGGGGCTATGGACCAGTACATTTTAAATTTTTAATTCAATTATGCAAGATTCATCCCATCCATTATTTTCAGACATTATCATAAATAGATCGGGAAGGGTTAGACATAAACAAAACAAAATATCCACAAACCGTTTTAAAAATTCAGCATTGTACATCGCTTGTAATTTATTTAATCAAAATTTCAGAAGATAACTGCACAGGACTCAAATTTTTATTTTCTAAGAAATCTTTATTGAACGATTCTATGTCATGTACAACAAATATCTCAGAATGTATTATTTTGACAATAAAGTTGACTTGTATCTTGTATCTTGTACATCTGGTTAACCTTACTCACCTCAAAAGTTGTACTGGTTCTTTAAAGTGCAATATGCCAGATTGTGTACACTAGGCCTATGGTTTAATAAGCCTTATACGAAAAGACTCAACCACCAGAAAACCATAGGTGGGTGTGCCATTCGAACAAACACTGGTAATATGGATGAACATTGTGGCGCCCTTACCCTAATCGATCAGCCATTTGACTCACTTGTACAATTTATATTATCAATTTACATCTATAGACACATGTACAGTAATTGCCTTAGTATCGGACAACAGAGTTATTACTGGAGCAATATATTGCTAACTCAAATGAATTTGATCCTCTAAAATTGAAGCTTAATACGAAAGCATATTCGGCAGCAAAATAACATAGTAAAGTGTCATACATGCTGTACTTACCTTGCCACATGATTTATAACTGGTGAAAAATTTGTAGGACCGTGTAGTTGAATGTATGGTAGACATGATTTGTAGGCCTGCATTACCCCTTGGATTCCAGCACAAAAGGGGTTTTGTTCATTGAAATTCTGAAATGATATCAATGATAATTTGATTGAAAAATATACACAAGGAATTTTACAGATACTCCTCAAGTCAGTCACATCCCCTCACACACTTCATACACCAGTGTAGACATGCATCAACCCTACAGATGCTAATTGATTAACATTTTTACTTGAAAGGATTCAAGCACTTTAGGGAAGTTGTATCTAAAAGTATATTAAGTGGAAGTTCAGTGTGGTATGCTCCAATATATAATACTATATAGTCACATTCATTGAGTTTTTGACCCAGAAAGTTGTAGATTAATAAAAAATTTTTCATTAAAAATTTAGTCTAATCAATTAAATATTAAAAACTGGATCCTGGTTAGATATTTGAACTACCACTTTTGAATGCTTAAGAAGTAGAATCTACTCACTACAGCAAATTCATGCGAAACTCTTCCGTCTGGTGGAATTCTGGCACCGAACCCCAAGACTGGAAAGAGCTTGTCCGAATCATAGTCCTGTAGGATCTGGCCTACGGCCATTATGGCTTGTTCGTAAGCATTTATTCTGTTACCGCTAATGTAATGCAAGGAGTTAGCCTGTGATGGTGCCCCTACAATGAGTGAAGGTTAAAGGTCAATTTTCAATGCAGGCAAGAAGTCATTTTGGTGTTTTTTGATAATTTAATGATTGTAAATTTTAAAAACGCTAAGACCAAAATTATAAGTGGCATCCATTTTTTAAATCCTTTTTACAAGAGTGGTCACAGACATGTTTTAGTATGCCACTCTTAAAAATAATTTTAAAAATGGAGGACACCTAATGATGTTAATGGCACAAATACTGATACTGTAGTTACTATATTCATGATAGTGATGAGGAAATGATCATATTATATACATTGATGATTACAACTATTGACATTTATTCAAATACGAGAACTACTGAGGAAATATATTGTGAAATGTAGTAGAAAATCACACAAAGTTCACAAAAAAAATCTAATCAAGTGCAGTTAAACTATTGACATTTGTATAGTAGAAGATCACAAAAAAAACAGTCAAATGCAGTTCAAATGCGATTCAGCAAATTAAAAAAAAAAAAACAAATCAATTGAAACCCACCATTTGATGCAGTAAAATCAATGGCCACAGTAAAATTAACTTGTGTTCCTCCTGTGATATAGTCAAGAAAAGAGACTCCTGCTTCCACAGTACATTTTATTAATGAAATAGTACCAGACGATTTGTACCCTTTTTTCTTGGCCTTTTTTTTCGGGTTGATCAGCTAAGAGATATAGAGAATACAATTAGCCAATCAGACAAAAGCCCTATATTTTAGGGCACAATTAGCCAAATCGATAGGCTCGGTATCTTAGGAGGCAATTAAACAAGCAGCCTAGCCAGGTTTTTTTTTTAAAGTACATGATATATATGAATGTGATGTTCGTAATAACATAGATGATATTTTCAGATTTTTTTATGTAATATAATGATAATGCCATGATAATCTGATTTGTAATCTGTTCTGTTTTTTATGTACAGCACATTGAGAGCTTGCTTACTTGCGCTATATAAGAATGAACTATTATTATTATTTATAATGGTCGAAATATCTTTGAATATGTCAAATACAAAAACGTCACATAGCATTTATAGTTTTACAATAGCTTCCTCAAATTTTAATTTACCTCATATGTATTTTCATGTGGAGTACCCTCTCGTAAGTGTCTCATGTTGGTTCTGAACTCACCAATAAAATCATCACTAATGAAAAAAGAACAACATTACTGTTACCAAAGTAATGAAGAGACATAACAAACTATGTAACAAACTACCGGTGATTTTTTTTGGTTCCTTCCTTCTGTAGCATCTTGAGCACTACTGCAGTGGATATATGTGCTTTATAAATCTTATAATTATTATTATTATTATTATTATTACACTGCTTGACATAGCAAAAACATAATAAGGGGGATGCACAGTATGCTTGGTTGTTGTCAATTGGACTTTGTGATATGTCCCGGCTTGTTGGCCTGTTCCATTTGTTTGGAATCCCAAAGATAAAAAGCTGCGTGACCAGCAGTGGCTGACAGGGAATTCAAACCTCAACGGGACGACTAGAGCCTTGGTCAGTGTCCCATAATAAAAGTCTGTGGTAGTGTTCACGGGTAGAATTTTTATGGCTTAGTATGGCCCAACATGTACTTTTTAGACCACAATATTTGGGATCGAAAATCAAAATAATGTTATTTGGACGAGAAAATAATTTGTGGTGTTGGCCAGTCCGATGGGAGAAAATGTCCTTGTCCCCTGCCCAGCGCCACCACTGTGCACACCCCCTTCCACATTAAATTATAGAATGTACATAAATGGCATACCTTCCATCGCTATCCCAATCATAGCATTCCACTTTTATTGTACGATCATAGTCTCCATTACACAGCGATGCCACTGGAATACAGAACTCTCTCCAGGTTGGATCTAAGGTGTTCTTTATGTATTCTGTCTTATGGGCTATGGTAAAGCTAGAGATTCAAGTCAAATATATAAAAGATCAAAATTTAACTGTATTGAAAAGTAAATGGAAATATTAGCACAGTCATCTATTTTTACAATAATAGGCCTATTTATTTGTTTCAAATTGGAATGGAAGTGGATGAAAGATTTGGTTCAATTTAAGATGAAACATATGCTAGATGCAAGTATGGCCTTAGAACAGCAAAACAGCAATTTTGTTGCAGCCACCAAAAAACCTATGTGTGTGGCCGTCTACCATCTTAGGTGGCCGCCTACCATCTTAGGCTAGTAAACCCCTGCCACATTAGAGTTACACCTTTATGCATATAGAAAAAAGGGGAACAAAGTCGTTAATAAGATAGGAAAGAGTTCAAAAGCAAAGCTTTGCATGCCAAACATTTTACATAAAAGTTTATTTCTATAATTTCAAATTATGTAGATGAGATTTGCTAATGTAAAAATAACAATGATTCCCTTTAACTGTAACTGAAATTTGGAATAAAAATGTAGCTTATTATATAATAATGATTATTATATATAACAATAATAATAATTGTGAACTTATATAGCGCATAATGTAAAATACCTCTATGCACTTTACAGCAGGGATCGCAGGTGGATAAATTATTTACAGTTTCACCTAATAAAAAAAATAAATGAATAACAACTAAATAAATATTAATATTAACTTGGTTCTGGTATTTGATTTCTAAATGATAATCATGAATATTATAATAATTTAGCTTTTTAAAGGACATATGCTACATGTTTCTCAGCAACAACAATGTAAAAAGCATGATGTTCAGATTTGGAACTTGAGCAAAGTAATGAGCTGGATTTACTTTTGTGGAGCTTTAAACAGTTCCAGTCCATAAGCCTCATAATGAAATGTAATGGACCTTTCCGCTAAGCCCCGCCCCTTGGATATTGTTGCTAAGGTCCCACAAGGCGACAGTGTTAAAACATACGCAAACACGTGCGTTTGTGGGACAACACGTGTGTTTGTGAAACGCGCGCGTATTCCTAGCGATGTTCTGATTAGTCAGTTGTTAAGTTTGATTGACACTCCGGAAAGGTCTATTTATAAAGCATAATGAACCCTGTGGGAGAACAGCAGATTAAAACTCAACAGGTATCTCGGTATAAATAGGAAAACTGTATTTATTCAAATACACCTTCATTTAATTTTAAATAAATTCCCCCTTGAATAAACACCCTTCCCGAGCTTTATTTGGAATAAACGGCTCACTCGAATTAAAACCATGGGGCATTAATTTTTCCTCACATGAACACCACCCCCCCCCCCTTCTCCACCTCTAAAGACTGTAAACAAAAGTAATGAGAGCAATATCATTCTCAATACATTCTATTAATATTCTACTCCAGTAGTATTATATTTTTTCTAACCTGGTTTATTTTAGTATATACATATCCATTTTACACCAAAAAAAAAAATAAACACCTCACTCAAATAAACTCTCCCTTCTCGACAATAAACACCCCAAGGCGTTTATTCGAATAATACGGTATATGAAAATAAGAGTGTATATAAATTGAAGTAGAGAGCAAAGAATAAATTTACTGAAATTTCAATCATTGGTTATTGTTGATAAGGATGATGCTAATGATGGTAGTGAATATCGGCAATGCCGCAGTAACAAACTCGCACTGCCACAGTGTGGAAAAAAGCTGCTGTTTTCTATTGGCTCTGACATGGTGCCAAAAAACTGTAGTTTTTTTTTATCGCCACTGCCACCAAAATACTGCATTTTTATATATTTAATATTTAATTTTTAAAAAATTAACAGCCAAAGATTGTTAAATTTGGATATTTATTAAGTTGTTCTTTAAATTCAGTAATATAAGACCAAATGTTTAGTTTTGGTGCCTACACCTATGTTTTTAATGTCAGCGAATTCATCTATATCACTCAAAATAATGTATTAGGTGATAATTATTAATCATTGCGTTCATTTCAATCGCGTATTCCTTGATTTATTTTTAACAAAAACTGAAAACGTTAATCAGCACCTAAAATTGTTAAAATTCAACAAATACGGCTCATGTAAAGGTAAAACGTCGGAGCTTCCAGGGACTTGGAGAAAGGAATACCTACTTCCACTCCATACTCTTAAAATGCTTGCTTAGTCCTTAGTATTACCTCTTTTTGATATATTGTTGTTTTGTCTGGTCAAATTGTAATGTTCAATATTCTAATTGTTTACAAGTTCAAATGAACAGATTATGTAGAATTGTTTTGTCTGTTGATATTAATACTTCCGTTGATGTTATGTTAATGGAATGAACTGATATGTTAATGAACTTATGTTAATGGAATGAACTGATAGCCTTAATGACTTTTAAATGTTTAAAAGGGTATGCGCCATCTTATTTATCATCTAAATTTAAATTTAATATCGAATCCCATTCAAAATGTACACGTAGTCAATCTCATAATAACCTTTTTGTACCACA